CGAGAGAGAGGCATGGACATATATTCACTACCAAACGTAAGGTAGATAGCTAGTGGGAAGCAGCCGCATAGCACAGGGATATCAGCTCGGTGCTTTGTGACCGCCTGGAGGGGTGGGATGGGGAGAGTGGGAGGGAGGGAGACGCAAGAGGGAAGAGATATGGGAACATATGTATATGTATAACTGATTCACCTTGTTATAAAGCAGAAACTAACACACCATTGTAAAGCAATTATACCCCAATAAAGATGTTAAAAAAAATAAAATAAAATAAAATAAATGCCTACTGATTTCTGTCAGGAAGAAATGAAAAATAAACTCATTACATTAAGCCCGTGTTTAAGGCAAATGTTTTATGTAGAGAAAAAATGTAAAAGGCTTTACCTGACATAGTGTGTAAGCGCTGAAACCAGTTTTCTGTCTCAGTAAGCCAGCTGCTTTCCCTGTAGGTGCTGTAAGTAAAACTTCTATAGCCTTGCCCGGCTTCGGCTGACTTTGCTCGGTGAAGGTAATCCATTCTTCTGGTACATTCTGGTCTTGTTCAAAATCTTCACAAGCTTTTTTCACTTCTCTTTCTTCCAACAGCTCTATATGCTTAAAAAGCTGGCTAACAATTGTGGTCTTCCCACTACCACCTTTCCCACTTATGACTGTCACAGCATTGGAGCAAATCATGTCCAAAGCAGCCACCTGATCCTGATCCAGTTGGACTTCACTTATTTCTGCCTTAACTTCACTTTCACCATTATCCCAAATATGGTCACCGCTGTCCTGCGTGTCCCAAATATCCACAGGATCTTCTAATCTTGTTTCGTCAGGTTCGCTTTTATTTAACGTATCATCACTTTCTGAATTCTCAGGTCTTGTGGTGTGAATAGACGCAAGCACCTTTTTGACATCAACATGTAATCGCCATGGCGACCTTGTCATCAGGTCACAGATTGAAGAGGCAATGCCTCTTTCAGCCTGGTAAAGGTCATAAAGAAAGACACAGCCCTTCTCATACGTCACCACACCGATATCCTTCAAGAACTTCAGAGACTGCCAAGCATCATGAAAAGACATGCGGTCTGACAATTCAGAAGTTAAGTCAGCTTCTTCAACACACGTGTGCCCTTGCTCTCTACACATCCGCTTCAGTTCAGAATATATTACTAATGCATTCTTCTCCAAATCAGTCATCAACTGGAGAAGAGACCTGCACTGACAAAACGATGTCCAACTTGCCTCACATTGCAGAAGCTTCAACTGTCTGTAGGTTATCTTTAAGAAAAGTAAATTCAAGTTTGCTTTATAAAAACTATAAATATTTTTATAATTGACTATTAGATGACTATTATGAGAATTACAGTGAAAACTATGGTGTTTAATAATAATTTTTTAAGTTCCAGAAGACATGTGTTTCAACAAAATTTGGGGAAAAAAAACTATGTACCTAATACATCACTAATTTTTTTTAATTAACTGTACTGTGATTAGAGATCTATATAACTTCATAATTAAAATTATGTTTTTTCAAAGCAATACACATACAGTTTTAAGAGTCAAATAACACTATGAGACTTATCACAAAAAATAGGAATCCTCTGACTTACCCTTTCCATGCCTTCTAAAGGCAACACCCTCAACATTTTCAGTTATTTCTTCCAGAATTTATCTCCACATTTCTATGTATTGTTTATACTATTCCTTAATTTCTTTAAAAAAAATTTAGGTAATTAGTTAACTCCTTACTATGGAAAGTCTTTCTTCATGCAAGTTTGCTCCCTTTGTACTGTCACTTTCACACATGCTTCTCTTCCTCCCTTTTTTTTTTTTTTTTTTTTTTTTTTGCGGTACGCGGGCCTCTCACTGTTGTGGCCTCTTCCGTTGCGGAGCACAGGCTCCAGACGCGCAGGCTCAGCGGCCATGGCTCACGGGCCCAGCCGCTCCGCGGCATGTGGGATCTTCCCGGACGGGGGCACGAACCCGTGTCCCCTGCATCAGCAGGCGGACTCTCAACCACTGCGCCACCAGGGAAGCCCTCTTTCTCCCATCTTTGAGAAAAGTTAATAGTATACATTTTGAAAACTGATTTTTGTTAAATCAGTGTGAACAGGATTCACGGCTGAGTGACATGATATGCTGTGATTACATTAACTTTGTGTTGAACTCTCCTGTATATTGTGAAGTTACTGACTGCCTCATTTTCTTGGCTTGTTTAGTTTTCCATGTGCCTATCAAAATTCTGCCCAAACTCCACTGAAAAGGTACAGAACTTCCTTCACCATGATCCACTAAGTAGGTCGTCTACCAGCTCCATTTTTTTTTTTTTTCCCATGGAGACATCACCCCTGGAGCCCTCCATACATTTTATGGGCTGAAATGTGTCCCCCCCAAAATTCGTATGTTGAAATCCTAACACCCAGTACCCCAGAATGTGACCATATTTGGAGATAGGGTCTTTAAGGAGGTAATTAAGTTAACATGAGATCACTGGGGTGGGCCCCAATCCAAGATGACTGATGTCATAAGATTTTAGGACCCAGACAAGCACAGAGGGAAGACCATGGAAAGACACAGGAAGAAGACAGCCATCCATAAGCTAAGGAGAGAGGCCTCAGAAGAAATCAACCCTGCTGGCACCTTGACTTTGGATTTATAGCCTCCGGAACTGTGAGAAAATAAATGTCTGTGGTTTAAGACACCCAGTCTATGCTGTTTGTTACAGCAGCCCTAGCAAATGAATTCAAAACCTCAGTAAAAGTCTTTATTCTGGGTGGTGGTTTACACGCTGAAAAGGGGACTTGAGTCCCACTTGAGTCCCAGAAGGCTCATTGCTCTGCTTCTCTTTCCTACTGAATAAACATATATAATAATCTAACGTTCCAGAATCTCATTTTTCCAAGCATATTGAAATCATAGTCATTTTATAGAGGGAACAAATTCATTATTCCAGTATTTCTCAAATGGGGGGCAGGGGGTGGGATCTGTAAACATTCTTGGGGATCCCACCAATTATCTCAGAATTTTTAAATTGTATTTTCATTTGGAAAACCATCTATAACCAAGCCAAGATTTAAGTGCCACATTTGGTTTTCAACATCTCTGGAGCTTCGCGGTGCCACTTTACTACTCCTGGTCTCTAATAAGAAAAACAGAAGTGCCAAAGAAATCGTAAATAACATTATTGTGCCAAAGAAAAAGAATCAAATGGCATCATCATGTACCATATGAATAATGAAGGTCTTCGAAAGTTCAAATAGGAAAGTGAGGAACGGCGTAGCATAGCAGAATGGACTTGCCAAACACACAAGAACTTGTCTTCGATGAGCTCTATATTCAAGGTGCTAAGGCAATTCAGTTACAAAAAATGTCATATGAAATTAAATTATGTAACTGAAGTATTGGTAATTTGAATGTCATTTATTTTGTTATTTTGTTTTCCTTTGTAAATTTATTGCATAAGAGCTACAGGTAGAAGAAGTTTATATTAGTTGCAACACTGCAAGGAAAATAAATCAACACTGAAGTCATACAAATTTCTTTCCCTTGAAAGAGATACAAAAAACTGTCAAGGGCTTCCCTGGTGGCGCAGTGGTTGAGAATCTGCCTGCCAATGCGGGGGACACGGGTTCGAGCCCTGGTCTGGGAGGATCCCACATGCTGCGGAGCAGCTGGGCCCGTGAGCCACAATTACTGAGCCTGCGCGTCTGGAGCCTGTGCTCCGCAACAAGAGAGGCCGCGATAGTGAGAGGCCCGCGCACTGCGATGAAGAGTGGCCCCCGATTGCCACAACTAGAGAAAGCCCTTGAACAGAAATGAAGACCCAACACAGTCATAAATAATAAATAAATAAATTTAAAAAAAAAAAAAAAAACTGTCAAGCTTGAGACATCCTCCCTTGTATAAGATTACAAAACGCTAAGCAAATATCTTTCTTACTTTACGAAATCCGAGTTTCCATGGCTGTGTACCTAAAATCTCTTCTATCGCTTCCAACACCTGTGTAGAATCTGAGCTTATGAGCCGTTTAAAGTGTCGGGGCAGAAGAACTGGAAGGAATTCCATTATTTTGGGGAACTGCAGAGCTCTCATCACAGTTATAAACGGAACTACAGGATATCAGAAAAGAACAAATAAAAACATACAAATGAGCTCACAGAACAACTGATTTGATGGACTTTCTCATTTAGCACAACCAGTTTAAGAAATCCAAATCAAAGACAGAGTAATAAACTTACTGTGACCAGCAAGAAAAGTGATTGTATTATAACACTTGCTTTTGTATCAAGATGGTTTTCATTGTGTTTAACACCAAAATTTATGTTCTTCAAATGCTTAGATAGCTACTTCTTAGCCTTTTGTTTCCTTCTGCTTGCAGTAGAATCAGAATAAAATTTCTGACTCAATAATATATAAATTTAAAGCTAAGCATTAAAAATCATTTACATATTAATCTTTATAGTCATTCTTCTTACTGTAATCATGATGTTTTCATCATTGAAATCATTCAATGATGTACTGCCAAATTTATTTGATAAAATTAAGAAATGAAATATTCCATATATGTGAATGTCCAGATAACAAACCATATTTAGAAGTTATTTTAAACTACTTTGAACCGAAATCTTTCCAAAATGGATTGCTCATATTCTTGCCTTTCTTCTCTCCCTTCTGAAACAGAATAATTGATAACTGAACTTCTTCTTAATGACTCAAGGTAATCCTAGGACACAAAAGTTAGAGAGAGACCTAGACTCACACTTTTAGAGCAGGAAAGGAACTAAAAGGTGTTTAAAGATCATCTCACCCAATCTCTTCACATTACAGATGAGGAACCTGCAATGTCAATGACATACTCCAAAAGCAATACAAACACATTTCATCAAACCAATTTAAAAAAAGAATACTATACCAAGATATCAATACTGTACTGGTAATATTTTAAACACACCAGTCATCCAGTATCTCAGTTACACTAAAACTCAATGATAAAATCACTTACTTGTGTTTTCCAGAGAACGCAGTATCTCGTCATCTGGTGGTGACTCTTCCTGTGTTTTCTGTGTAGATTGTTTTTGAGTATTCCTTCCAATGTTCTTTTGGTAAGTTCTTAATTTTTCCCTAAGATTTTCAAAGTTGAGGTCTTTATAACTTGATTCAGCATTTACCCATGCTAAAAATTTTTTTCTCTTTTCACTGGAGACATTACAGTCTTTAAGAAAGAGGGAACAGATGTGTAACTGATTTGGTGCTGCCATATCTGATTGTAAAAAGTAAGAAGGAAATCCTTGAACTTGAAAGCTCCTTGATCCTACCGGCTTCACCTGTACCTTCACTCGCCACCAAGCACCCAGTAACGGAAAACGTCCAAACACTTCACATTGCTGGTGAGTATTTTCATCAAAAATTGAAACTTTAAAAAAAAAAAAAAGGTAATTTAGGATAAATTTTAAATCTCTTCCCAATGTTTTGTCAAATCCACTACTCTCTTTAATCCCTGGACAGTACCCTCTACAGATGTCTATTACAGTGTCTATATTCCACTCACCTGTTTATCTGTCTCCCTCTACTACACTGTAAGCTCTCTAGAACATGACAATGTTTCATCTGTTTTTGTATTCCAGGAGGGAGGCATGGTACATGGCAAAAGTTTGTTGTTCCTCTTCTAAAAGCAGTCCTCTCTCTGCTACTCTGATCTCAGTCAATACTGACCTTCAAGCAGTTTCTAAAAAATGTCATGGTCCCTCCTACCCAGGGCCTTTGCAAAAGCTGTTCCACTTGCCTTAAATAATTTCTTCCTTACTGTTTACCCCATTTACTACAGACCTCAGCTTAATTGTCACTTACTCAGGAAAGCCCTGAATCTCATGAATATAACCTCTCATAGCACTTCTTACAATTCCTTCTAAGCACTGAGTGATATTATAGTTACTTCTGTGATTATTTATGGAATGTCTGTTTAATTCATTAGAGGGTAAGCTCCATTAAGACAGCAACCTCATCATCTAATCTCACCAAGGTAGCACAACAAAACAAACATCTTGCTTGGAAGATGGTAGCCAATCACTAACACTTTCAGGATAAATGACTAAACCCTCCACAAATACTTAAAAGTTTCTGTCTAAACCTGTATTGGCCACTCACCTGTGACTATTTAAATTTAAATTAATTAAAATTTAAAATTCAACTCAGGTGCACTAGCTGCATTTCAAGTTCTCAATAGCCACAAGTGGGTAACAGCTGTTGTATTGGACAGAGCAAATATAGAGCAATGCCATCACCAGAAAAATTCTACAGTACAGCAGTGGTCTGAACATTCAAACATTCTCAAACATCAGTCACCAGGTACACATAATAGGTATAATTCTTAGGACAGGAAACTATACAAGGTAAACACAGATCACAAGGTTATTAACACAAGGTTAATGAATCAACAGTGCCTTGGGGTGTTTCTTATGTGCGTGTGTGTCTAAGTAGCTGAAAAGTAACCACATACTCGCCTCCAGGAAAGACAGGAAAATAGTTAAAAGCCCTGATTCGGGGTGTGAATACTGGCTGGAGACCCATTGTTTCCTCAAGAAACTACCTGAAAAAGTTGTCATCAGTAAATGAGATACACGTGGAGCCCAAGCTTAACACATAGTATTTGCTCAAGTCTCTGCTATTCTTGTGGTTGTTGCTGTTTTTATTTTATCCTAAACAGGACGAAACAGCTAGGCCATCCCAAAGGAAGTCTATTAGCAGCGATGGGGCGCCTTACTTGGGACGAGGCCATAATGGGAAACAGTTCATTAATCCTCCAAACCCATTCCCAGGGGCGAGTTGCTTCCTCACCACGGAGCCGACCAGGGAGGCTGCCCGCTTTTACACCCCCACTGCAGAGCTCCTCGGCATCGACAAACACCGTGTCTTCCTCCTCCTCCGCATCCTCCTTCAGATGATCATCTTCCTCCTCCACCAGGTCCTTGGAGGGGAGCAAAGGTCCCTGTAGCTCGCGCAAGGGCTGACTCAGAGAAGCCATACTCCACTCTCCCCAGCTCAACCCAAATTCCGGAAAACCCGGGCTACGTAACGCCCAAGAACAGCCAATCAGCTCCGCGACTGTAGGACCGTCAGCTTCCAGGGGGTTGGGCGAAATGCATGAAGTGGGTTAATTGTATGGTGACGGATCGCAACTAGACTGTAGTGGTGATCACGCTCTAGTATATACAGATGTTGAACTATAATGCTGTACATCTGTTTTTTGTGGGGGTTTTTTTTGCGGTACGCGGGCCTCTCCCGTTGCGGAGCACAGGGTCCGGACGCGCAGGCCCAGCGGCCATGGCTCACGGGCCCAGACCTTCCCAGACCGCGGCACGAACCCGTGTCCCCTGCATCGGCAGGCGGACTCTCAACCACTGCGCCACCAGGGAAGCCCAATGCTATACATCTGAAACTTATTTTCTAAAAAAACACCATCAGCTTTCGCAAACGCTCCCACTCCCCAGGCTAAAAGCTTGCGCGGAGGGGCGGAGCGGCGGCGAAGCTCCGCCCCAAGCTCCCAGCGGAGGACCGGGATTGGGTGGGGAGGGTCGAGGCTCAGCGGGGTCGGGCAAGGGGCAGAGCGGATGCGCGGGCGGGGTGATCTCTCCCGCCTCCGCCCCGCAGCCAGACTTGAGGCTTCGCCAGGTGCTCGGAGGAAACCAGCTGATTGGGCAGCGGCATACGGGCACTTGCAGAGCAGCTAACCCACTGCGACTCCTGCATACAGAGAAACGCGAGGGAACGGCAGTCTAGTGACCCCAGAGAACCTGGAAAAGCAAGCCCTTCCCCGATGCCTCCAAAACGAAAACCCAAATGCCCTTCGGCCAGCACCCAAAGCGCAGAACCGCGAATCTCCAATCGGCAGACCCGCCTAGTCGTGACTCCTTTGGGCCTCTGTTTTCGTCAGGTGTTGAATTTATATGATCAAAGGCACTTTACTCAAGGTACAGACCTCTAGGCCCCATTCAATACCCATTGTATCAGGATCTAGGGCAGAGACCCAGGCTTCTTTTCAACCCACGTCCCAAGTTGTAGATTTTGATGCTCAGCCAGGTTTGGAAAGCACTACATTAGATGACTTTCAAAGTCCTCTTTATCATTTCCTCTGTGAGTACACCCAGGCCTCCCAAACTTCTTTAAGCTGGGCTGCTGCCTGCTCGCAGTGGGGCAAAAAAGTCTAGTTACAGCCCAGGGTATAGACAGGAGTGAGGGAAAGCAAGTAGAAGAGAACAGTGGTTTAAAAGTTATTCTGGATGTACATACTTGATGGGGATAGTGTTTGAAAGTCATGGTACTTCTTGAGGAACACCATAAAATATATTACTACATTACTATTTTGATACTATTTATTATGAAATTACTCAATAATAGACAAAATAACTAAGCATACACTGTTTGCTAAATCCAAAAGCATCTTATTCTAATATAAATAACAACCACCACCAAAGTTTTTTTGTTTGTTTGTTTAATTTATGGGACCATAGACCTGAAACAAACACAACTTTGTAAATCAACTATACTTCAATAAAAAATAAAGTTCTTTTCTTTTTTTAAAAACTTACGGGGGAAATTACTAAAATTGATTTTTTTTTCCTTTGGGTACAAATGTTGACTGTTGGTGGTTTTAGAAACACCCTCTGTTGCATCAGTGTTTCCAAGGATCGTCTATATGAGGTGGAACGCCTTCCTTAACACTCAGGATGGCTGCTGTTTCCACCACAATATGGAATCTGATCTGACAAATGTCTCACCACTGGTCTCTTTGTTACTAAATGCAGTGGATACCTTTCTGCCTTTGTCTTGCCTCACCTCTCAACAGTATTTGACACAGATAACTATTTTCTTCTTGTAACACTCTGCTTCCTAGGCTTTTGTGACTTGTCTTCTTAGGTTTTCCTCCAACCTCTCTGGCCATTTATAGTTTCTTTGGGTTCTTCTACTGGTCTCTTAAGTACTTGTGTTTCCCAGGGTTCCATCCTAAGCACCTCCTCACTCTGTAATCCTTCCCTCAATCATCTTTCACCTACTCTGTCACCTACATGCTAATGACCCCAATCTAATCTCCAAACCTGTGCAAACAACTGCCTATTAGATGCCAGGACTGGATGCCCCTTGGCGCCCTCTGACTCAACGCATCCAAACTGAAAGCTCTGCTGCCCAAATGTGGTCCACTTACGCGTTTATACGTAAGATAACCTTGTTACCAACAGAATGATTTAGGCACAAGACTCCAGATGTTAAGCTTCTGTTTATATAACTCAGTTGCATTCTACTAGGTAGTGTAGGTTAGGATTCAGGATGGTGAGGACTTTGCTTCTTTACCTGTTGATTCCTCATTTTTTAAAATGTTAACAATTCTAGGTTCCTGGATACCATCTTTACAGTACACAGTAAGCAACAATACTCAAACCTGGCTGTGCATCAGAATCACTTGGGATGTTTCTAAAAATATGATTCTTGAAGCTACATTTCCACAAATGTAAGACAACATAGGCATAAGGTTATTCACTGTATAACTTTTGTAGTAGCAAAGGACTGGAAACAGTAGAAATGTGTACCAGTAAGAGACCTATTGAATAAACTATTGTACATCCACACCATGGAGTATTCTTCAGCAATTTTATAAAAGAAAGAATGAGGAATACCTTTTTGAACTTCCAGGATATTACGTTAAATAAGAAAAAAAGACATAAAACAATGAAAATAGTTTTATGTGTTTGCATATGCTTCTTTCTGCAAAAACAAAACAAGCAAACAAACACAGGGAACATAAACCAGAATTTTATGAAAATAGTTACCTACAGATAGAGTGGAAACAGGATAATGGAGAAAAAGGTGGGAACAAGATCTCTGAGTAACTTTTTATAATGGTTTTAACTTCTGAGCCATGAAAATGTTTCACATATTCAAAAATAAAGAAACAAAATCAAAACCTAAAATTGAACACAAACAGAAACAAAGGAAACTATCTATCAAATGGATAACATAACCTCTCAGGCAAAAAAATTACTTCAGGTTACTTCTGAATACTTTGAATAAATATTTTAAGTTACTCTGACTATATACCCTTAGTAGGTTATATTCTGAGGACAAAAGATCTACAAAATAATCTTAAAATTTACCACACGCTGGGCTTCCCTGGTGGCGCAGTGGTTGAGAGTCCGCCTGCCGATGCAGGGGACACGGTTTCGTGCCCCGGTCCGGGAGGATCCCACGTGCCGCGGAGCGGCTGGGCCCGTGAGCCATGGCCGCTGAGCCTGCGCGTCCGGAGCCTGTGCTCCACAACGGGAGA